GGGTCTGTCTTACAAGGTAAATTACTGTACACAGTGTATTCATTAATTTTCATTTTCATGTAGTAAAGGCTCTATGCCTTCATAAAGGACATACTTTTCCTTTGTTTAAGGTATTTGGGCAGTTTATTCTCTGTTGTATTCTCAAGCAAACAATACATACAAGTACAGTACAATATTTTCTGAGGAAACACACATACTTATCCTTTTTTTAACCCCATTCCCGATAACACGGCATTTTCACAAATTTGGCCACCCTTCGGTCCACATTAGGCCGAATTTTCGAGGCTCTACTGTATTATTGTAAATATAATATATTTTAGTGGTTAAAACAGTTATATTTTGAAATTATTTCTAAATAAATACAATAGTTTTATTTATTTTTAATGTACTAACAAAAATCATCTTGCCCAACAAACTTTAATTTACTGTAAATAAGAATTGTTCTATTTTGTTTTAGAGTATTTTTGAAATTAATTTGTTTTAATATCAAAATTTTTAATGATTTATATTAAGATGGTGCACATGAATAGCTATCAAGATGATGTAAATTAGTATTTTTAACTTATGTTTAAATATACTTTAAGAAGAGTAATTATTATTCTAATATGTTTTACATTCTATTTATTAAAATTTTTTACATATCCTTTCTAATATGTATGTATGTATGTAAGTAATAAAACTCTTATTGATCTTATGTAATCTTAAAAATTATGAATAGATTTCTTACCTAGTTTAACTGAATAAAATTTTTGCAAAATAATCCTTGATTTCACAATTCTCATTTTCATAATATCCAGAAATAAAATAATTATTGCCATTTAAGCATTAAGAAAGCAAAATTATATATTTTAAGAAATATATTTAAATTTTATTTTAAATTAAAAATAAATATTTAATGTATTAGTTTTTTCATTGTAGTTCATTCATTGTAATATTTGGACACCTTTTATTATTCTTTACTGTTATATAACTACTATTACAGCTACTTCTATTGTAGCAAATTATAGAATGTGTTGTTTATCACTAATTTATAATTTAAAAAACGATTGTACATGATTATTATACTTGAAAATACGATTTACATTCAAGTTCGATAAGTATTTTTGAATATGTTGTTAATTATTATCATAAGACTGTTTTGATTAATTGATTAATTATATTTTTTATTTATTTATTTTCTGTAATGGGATTTCTATAAAGAATTATAATTATAGATGTGAGAATAATAACTTTGTTTGTAATTGTAGTTAATTATTTATTTATAATGATAGATATGGTTAAACTTTTAATTCTAAACTTCAATATTTAATAATTTTGAAATTATAATATACTATCTTTTCAAAATGATCATTATAAATATGGGTTCTAATAGGAATTAGTTGTGGTCAACTATCACCACTTAAGAATTAAATAGATGTAGTGTATATTGTGTATCAAGTTAAAATGGGTAGATGCCAAAAGGCAGAAGTCAGTAGGGCAGAAATAAAAATAGTCCACATTTTCTTGGCCATATTTCTTATAATGTTTAAATATACTATCTTCGTAACTTTTAGCCTACTTTATAGTACATTGGAATTATTTTTATTTTAATAAAAATAGATAAATAAAATTAGATTGTTTATATGTAATAAATATTTAAGTAACAATTCAGCAATACACATTAAAATTAATGTTAAAGCCAGTTATTACACCGATCAAAGTTATTGATGAGTGACAAAAAGATTAATATAGTATTATTAAAGCTGTGATATAAAATCTAATAAAAATTAATATTAATTAAAGATGCTAAATCATGTTCAAAAATATATAGGCCTATATATATATTTGTTAATGCTGTTTTATAAAGAGAAGTTTTTTGGAATTTTTTTATTTGAAGAAAATCTATAATGAAGCTAGTATAATGTAGTTTTTTGTTCAATAAATACAAATATAGAATTATAAAAATTTTAATGAATTTAAAGATTACATACAGTACATTTTCTTGCTCATCATTAATTGGTACTGTATCAGAATAAATTAACATTTCTACAAATAATTTCTTTTAACTGCCAGGAAAGAATTTTTTTTAAATATATATATGTAATATTTTACATTTATTTGCATAGAACAATGCCAACTAAGATATTTGTACTTACCATATACACTTGCACCATTGTTTTGTGCAGGGGTATATGTTATATACTGTATATTGTATTTATTTTTAAATTATATGGCATATGTATATAAATACATATACATCAATAACATTTTTTATATTTAGATTATTGCAAATTTGAAACTTTAATTGAACATGGGACAAATGATTAATTTGTATATATTTATAATATATGTATACATACACACTGAACACATACACACACACATACTGAGCACATTTTAAGGCAATAATAAATCAAAAATAATTTATTTACACTGGCTTCAGTGATTTATATATATATTTATATATATATTATATTTATAGTTGTGTGTGTGTATATTATATATATGTATATATATTATTTGATATATTGTACCAGTTAATGAAAGCTTTCTTTCCGTGAGAAACTAACAGGTAAATAATACCACACGTATTCCTTTTTATATAAGTTAACAAACCCTTTACTAATAACAAACATGTTCAACATTTCTAAGTACTTCAACAACAATTTGCTTAGACCAAGCATATCCATAGACAATAGGACTAACACAATCTACAATCACACCAACAATCCGTCAACATTGGGAAGTTTTGTCCTGAGCTTTTCGTGATATTTTTTCTCACACAAGAACTGAAACTGCAAATACGTCGAATGAAAGACTAACTCGACATTTCGGACGTTTTGATCGTTGCGCATTCTCGAAAAAATGTGCACATCTTTTAAGCAAATGTATATGTACAGTACATAATTTTTTTTCTTTAAAAAATATTACCAATAATAAAAGCTATATTTTTAAATATCTAACGAGCTACCTCGCTTTTTTTGGCAGCAATTTATTCGATGATTAGTTCGGTTTTAATTTATTTTAGCTGCCAAGATATATATTTTTTTTTCTCCATTTTTTAAATTAAAGGAGTGGAAAAATAAATCATTGGCTGAAGAAAACTTAGTGCTTTAATACATTGATGAGATCATATCAGGGAAAGAAAAGTGCTGGCCCGGAATGAACGGTTTTAGACATGGTCGGATCTTCACGATTAACATTCTTTTCTTCGTTAAACTTTCATTTTCTAATGTCAATCACAGTATGAACTAATGATATAAAAAACATCTAAACATGCGTCACAAACACCATTTGAATAATTTCATGTGTAGACAAAGGGAAGTGAATTTGATCAGTTGTCAAAGGGAGTAATAGAATAAACATTGAAGATTTAAATGTATAATCACCGACTGTATATAATTAGTTTGGCAAGTTATCTCTGTCAATTAAGGATCAGAGATAGATAATTATTTAAGATATGTTTTTAATATTTGATTTTACTTCAGTTAATTCTTTGTAACCAAAACTAATAGTGAAACAAAAAACAAAAAAGTGCTTACAGGAAAATTGATGGGTGAAATGCCACAATCGATATGGTGCGCAATGTCCACAGTATTGTAAGATGATCCGTGGCCTTCAACATCTGGCGTTGGGAATGGGGGTGCCGGAGCTGGACACTTGGTCGCCCCGTTGCTATTTCAATTGTCACATTTGCAACGGAGAGAAGCAATTCTGTTTCGTTTACATAAATAAATTCCACTTTAAAATCCTTGGATGATATCATACGCTTCCAAACTCGACATGAGGACGTAAAATACCCATAGGAAAACGAAAAAAACTGCGGTGGGTACTTTATATTTCATGGGTCCTCCTAATTCGCCACCCACTGCTTTGTTACGTCGTAATAGTAATATGACGCAAACGATGAAAGCGCAACAACAGAAGAGAGTAACAGAAAAGGCTAAGCTTCCAGGATGGACCTCAAATTGATCCCCTCTGATAAAATGAACCACTGCTGCAATAGACCAGGCAATACCGATTCCCAAAAAGACATTAACAGCATTACTTCCTGTAACGTTTCCAATAGATGAATCAGCATACTGATCATTGACAGCAGCCACTTTGCTGGCGAATGTATCTGAAACATCACACGTAGAAATTAATCCCAAACAAATAAAATTAAATTAATATAGCAAATTAATTATAAACTAGTGGGTTTAAAATAAAAATAATAGAAGATAAAATCCAAAAAGCAATAAAGAAACACAAACCCAAGTGGAAAGTATAAACTGAACAAATGAAAACGGATAAGGGAGCCTCCTTTCGTTCAATTAATACCGTCATATTTTACCTGGTATGCTTGTTCCAAGTGCCACAAAAGAAATGGCCGTTACTGAATCGTGTAAGCCAATGGTGCAACCAAAATGAGACGCCAGGTCACCGATAAGGGCAGTCAGGAGCCCTATGATCACGATACTAACCATAAAGCAGGCCCATCCTTCTAAGTGGTCTACAGGAACACAAATAGTGATTAAGAGATCTTCTACGTGCTTATTGCATACTTACCGGCTTATCCAGTAACGAACTCAGACCATCTTACAAAACACTAAACACATCACTTACCGGGTACACTTGTACCAAGAGCTACGAATGCCACAGCTGTCACTGTATCTTTCAATCCAACGGTACAACCAAAATGCGACGCCAAGTCGCCGATAACAGCTGTCAATACCCCAATCATAATAATGGAGACGACGAAACATACCCAACCATCCAATATATCTGCGGAAGAGTAAATATGATAATATCTTCCTTTATTGAATAATAGTGTGGTTAGTCTGTCAGCTCCAAACAACATTCATGCTACTGAACAACAACATCAACAACAACAACACTATTAAACCTACCATGTGTTAGTAATAGCTCATTCGAAAACCATTTGCCAAAAAAAAATCTCAATTATATCATATATTAGTTAGTTTTGTATTAAAGAAACACTAGCATCTTACCTGTTGGTGGAACAAATGCAAAAATCAGTTTCCAGAATATTGTGATAAAATGCAAAACATAATCTGTACAAGTAGGCATTTTCTCTTCTTTTTCGCCCCCCTCTTCCCCTTCTTCACCTTCTTCCCCTTCGCCATCATCGTCATCATCACCAGCACTAACCGTAATTGCTTCAATAAATTGTTCCTTCCACGAAGAGGTTCCCAGCAACGAAGCGACATTCGATTTTTGGAATAACTTGTCCACAGTATTCTATAATTTGTATTATAGACTTATTATCAGTTACGGAATCACATCTATTTTTTATTTTTGAAAATTATCCTTTTTTGTAAAACTTTTTTTACCTTAAATTCTTTACTTTCTTTAATTCGAAGTTCGCATTTATAAACCTCGCCTAATTTCGGTTTTCCTAAAAGAGCTATTTTTTCGGCATCAGTCATATCCTCTTCATCGCCTTCTTCAGTTTCCTCCTTATTCAAGTCTAACAAAGTATAATTTTGTTATAAAACAGCAACCATCGGTTGTATAAAAAAGACCTATTAGTCAGTTAGTGTTGGAAAGAAAGCCAGCCAAGGGCGCTCCCACCTGTTTCAGATGAAGAGCGACAAGAAATTTGTAAATCGATTTCATTGGTATCCGGTGTAATGGGTGTTGATGCTGTTACATGGATTCGGTGGAAGAAATACAAAGATAATTAAAAAGGGAAGGGAGGTAGTGTGAATGAAACCTTTTTTTCAAATCGCCGTATATTTACCTGACTCCAATTTAGGTTCACCTAATTCAACATAGAAAACTGCATCTTTCTCATAGGACTCATTATCGATTATGCGAATCGGGACATCTTTGCTGGAAAAAAAGACAAATTAAAATAATATGAATAGAGACTAAAACTAAAAAAATAAGAGATAAACAGATCGATTTGTAAAAAAGCCAATGGTGATTTCCAGCAGGATATGATATGGCCTCGACCGCTGATCAAGAACCGAAGTAATAAACTTCTGACTTAACAACTATAAAGTGACAAACGATCCAAACATTCCTTTCTCGTTAATCGAGCGAGACACGCATGTTCTTATCGAATATGAGCAAACATGCGATAAAAGAAACGGATGTATTTCTGCCATCAAAAAGAAAAACTAACTTTTCTTGTTCGATTTCTTCGCTCTGTTACCGATAAACTTACTGTCATCTAAAGCCCCTTTGAAGGTTTCTTTCCCCTTATGTTCAGTCGACATACGGTAAAGTTTGTCAATTCATAAGTTAACGAATCAAAAATATTTCGGTTAAAATATCGATCGTGTTTAAAATGAACAAAATTTTGTTGTTTTATATATCCGAGAGATAGGTTTAAAGAGGTTAGTATTAAGTAACGTCCAACATAGTTGATTGACGCTAATGTTTCGTCGTCACGATCGTCCTATCGATCGTCTCTTTCGACCAAACCGCATTCGCCGGTCCCGAAACCTTGGTGTCGTCGCCATAGCAACATGACAAGATCTGTAACCTTTCCCTGCATTTCTGATTATTAGAACTTCTATAACGGTTCAACGGTGTTATTAGTTCATAAATAACTAATTAATCCTAAAGATCAAGAGAATCTTTGTGTTTACTTTATACTTACAAAGTTTCGTTGTTGTCAAAAACTAGTTGTCCATCGAGAGGTTCGTATTCTTTCCCTTCTTTGGCAGTTCCTTCTATAGTTTTGAACGGTAGAACCACTCTTCCTCTGGCTCCGCTAAATCGGTTGATCTTTAGCATGAACTCACCGACAGACTCCGGAACTTCGAATTCAGCTTGTGCAATTGAAAAAATGCCTCCGTGGTCATCATCCAAAATCATAACGGTAGCTAATGATGGTGTGGCCAATTTTATGGGTGGTCTCTGACCCGGAGAACCATTCATGGCACGAACGCCTCCATCTACGCTATGTAGATAACGGGCGTTACTCAATCGAACATAGAAATGTTCATCTTCTTCAAATACATCATCGTCAATAACACTGATGAAGATTTGCTTCTGGGTATCTCCAGGTCGAAATACTAAAGTTCCTTCCACGGGTTCGTAATCGTCGCCAGCATTAGCAGTGCCATCTTCCGTTGTATAGTCGACACAAACGGCGGAATTTAGATCGCCTTCTCGAGCTATAGTGACGGAAAACTGTCCAACATTTTCCATAACAGTGTAGTGTGCTGGATCAAAAAAGATTCTTATACTGTCATCTTTAACTTCTTTAACCTCCTCTTTTTTAGGTTCAAGCTTTTCGATCTTCTTCTTCAAATTGCCTCCTCCCATTAGTTTTCTAGTTGCTTGAATACGATAGAATGCGCGACTTTTCGGGCCACGATTAAGTAACTCTTCGCGTGCCATCATTTCAATTTCTTCCATGTTACGATTAGGATGTTTCTTTCTCAGTTCGCGTAAAAGTGCGATATATTCCTGACGGTGTTGTTCGAATTCTCTCATTTCATCACTGGGTTCACCTTCGTAATACTGTAAAGTGCCATCAGGAATGTGATTACTCTTCGCGCCCATCTCTACGTCGTCCCCTCCCTCTGTCCCAACGATAATTCTTCTTTTGTTCATGCGATAATTTTTCGATAAATATTTATAAATGAGTAAACGACGATCGGCAATATAAGCAGTCACCACAGTTGCTGGAAAGAAAAAGAGGGTTAGTAATCCCTCCCATACTTCAATGACTCCGTAAGACGACCATGTAAGGATCAAATATAGCCATATATAAGCAAATACACTCCAGGTCATAGTGACAAAGAAAACGCGTAAATGTTTGATTTTTCTGTTTTCGGTACAAGGAATTGCCGAAACACAAATGGCTATGATGACAAACATGTTAAAAGCAGCACTTCCTACGATAGTACCTGGACCAAGTTCACCCGCTTCGTAATTTTGACCATATACTTCAATAATCGACAGCAAAATTTCTGGTGCTGAGGATCCTAGAGCCATTAATGTTAAATTTGACACTGTCTCGTTCCATATCCTAACACTTATAGTTTGAGTTTCGCCATTTGGTTTCTTCACCACAACTTCCTTCTCTTTCGACGTAATCACTTCAATAGATGCCATGAAACGATCAGCAATAATTGAAACACCCACAAACATATAGAAAAGAGAAATAAAATAAACTATGCCTCGTGCAATTATATCTCCCAAACTGAGATTTTCTTGGGGCTGCCATATAGGCAATAATAATCCTTCTTTGCATTTAGTTTCGTTTCCACTCGCTCTGGCAACACTCGCCACACACACCAAAATCGCCGCACCAAGCAGTTTTGTTGAGCACTTCATTTCGAAAAGGAACAATCACCTTGTTTCTTCAGACATGACAAGGATTATTAATCCAATTATTTCTGTCACCCACAACTCGGAAACCTGCAAAATGACAAATATTAATATCTACGTCAGACTATTGTTCTTATTTATCACAAATCTGCAATAACATCGATAACGCAAAAGATAAAGAAAATACCTTGTACCTTTTATCATTCCATATAGTAAATATCATTGGAAGACTCGAAAATACACACGTTTTTATTATAATTTATTCTCACGATTAAATTTTCGGAAGTAATTTTTAAAAGTATTTCTGCATAAGGGATACAATTTTCAACATACCAGGGTAACTGGTATATTGTTTCAGCTCGTACACTGTCCATTGTTAAGAGACCGAAATAAACCAAAGAAGTCTTGCCAGCAATCAAAGACAACATCTTTCTAATTTTAGCTAAAAGACAAGACTTGCCATTGCGTGACGTGGCTTCTAGTTTTATATTATTCCCATTGATGAGAAATGTATTAATTGTTGCAATTTGTATATCTGTCGAAATTGGAGACCGTAAATGTTACTTATTAAAGTGATACGAGTTTTTATTCCAACTTTTTATATTAAACAATACTTCAAAAATGGATTAGATAAAACAATCACCATGTATTATATATATATATATATCGGCAAAAAGAACAAATATTTTCACATGAAACCATTTGATGTAATTAATCAGTAATTGATAAAAGAACGTTGATTCTATGAAAGAAGTTTCAACGTTTGTACTTTGCCTACATATTTTGATTAATAGAAGTATTATTAAAAAGCAAATATGAAATATCCTATCCAAAAATTTAATTTATATTGTTAGAATCTCTGCGTATATTACAATAGAACAAAAGGAAAACTTATGCAACTAAAGAAATCGACTATATAAACAGTACTAAAATACAGTCAAGTTACATAAAGTAATCGAAGTTTCTGTTAAGAATGATTGCGGTTAACTCCGTGTTATCGACATCAAGTCTAACGAAGAAATGTTAGAGGTAGGTGTACCAAATATCGGTATCGTGACCCAAGTCGCTTCCAAATTGGTCTGTAGCCACAAGTTTTGGCACAACAACACCGACTAGTGGGCGAAATCATAAACCAAACCGGCCTTGTTAATCTTTCCTCCATCCTGAGTAATAGAGAAAACAATTAATAGAAAATCTGTTTGTCAGCATATGATGGGATTGCTAATCTTTGTGGCTCGAGGTTAGATAATAATGAGATTGTAGGATTTAATGATAACTTTGGTAAAACGACAGATGACGCATCGCAACAGGTGACGACGAAAATAGATCATTATGAAAACGGGGAGGTGACAATAAGAAGGAAATAAACTTAAATGAACGGATCATAACTTGTGTCATTTAAATACATGAACTTTCGAAAGAAAAATCTGCATTTTGAAATTTGTTTTGGAAGAAGGCGTACACTGTTTGTATATTATAAGTTAATTGTTGTGTCACAGTCTTTTTAAGCATTGCTTATTACAGACAAACATGATACTTTAAAATATAAGCTTGAATTACTGTCTCACTGTGTTACATAATTAAGCAATTATTGTTTTTTATAATAAAATGAAAAATCGAGAATATCTGAAATAACAGCATACTCATAAATGAGCTTTACGAGCTATAAAATATTTAATCGATTTAATAATTTATTGAAAATGAGGTGAATTTATTTCTAATTGAATTAAACAAATAAAGCATGTAACAATGTATTTTTGTAACAGAAACAAATAATACTGAAAACATATTTTAATTGAAAACAAATCGATGGATTAGAAGCCATTCTCCTTTATTAAATATGGAGATGAAAGTTATGATAAACTTTTTCGAAAATCTAACAAATAAACATTTATATATGTAGGCCTATGGAAAAATATAAAATGGAAAAAATAGGTTTAACTCAGTTTCCGGAAGAGGAAGCAAATAATGATTTTCTCGGAAGAGGAAATAACACTAGAACACATGACAGGAAGAAAGATGTTTTTCTCAAATGACAAGAATCGTTTGAAGTACTTACCGAAGATTTGACTATAAAGTTTAATTGAAAGAAAAAAAAATAAACAAACAGTTATAAACTGGTATTGAAATAAATATAAACAGTTCAAAATACTAAAAAAAAACTTGCATATATTCGAAATATAATATATATATATTCGAATATATGCCATAGTAAAAAAAAATGCTACATTGATTTTTCTCTTCATTAAGAATCACTTTAAAAATAAACGACTTCGTTTCGACTAATTCGTTTCTTTATCCAAATCGTCAAGGTCAACTTTTAAAAAGCCAGCTTTAATTACTTTTTAGTATCATCAGTGCATTTTATTCAATCGATAAAAAAATTTAATTCGTTTCATCTCAAACTAAACTGATAATTTTCTATTAAATGTCGAAAATCCTAACATCATTTGTCTCAAATATTGAAATTTATCAAATCTTCGTAGTAGCCATCGAATCCTTCTTCCTTCCATATCTCCCATCGTTTCCCTTCCTTTTCCGGCGTATCCTAGTAGCCTATAAAGTCAACAGATAAGAAAAACTGACACTTAATTAAAATCACACCGACCAATAATCTTCGTGTGGATGCTTTAATATCCTTTATAGAATTGATTATTAAGTAATTGATTATAATTTACAAATACTTGTATAAATTTAATATAACTTATTAAACCTTAAATGTTTATATATATATATTTAAGGATGAAGAGATATCCGGAATTTCTTTATTAAATAGAATTAGCTAAAGTGAGATTCGCTGACTTAAGATACCCAGCATACCTGTGTTCCTGGCCAATCTATTTCTGTCTTCATCAACTCTCATACACATCAGGAACAGAACACGACATGAATGCAAAGGGATATTAAAAAAAAAAAAAAAAAATACAATTTCTATAAAATCGAATCTGAAGTGTAATATTTTCGGTATTCGGCAATTTGTTACTCAGACAATAAACGGGTCAAGGGAAAATAAAAAAGAAGCAAAATCATACGTCTATTTGTGTCGACAGTGAACTACATAAGAGTTTTGAACAGTAATGGTGCGTGAAATTCTCGACTTAAACTCATGAAAATGCTCTTTTATATCGGTGAATGGTTCCAGTCTGAATGAAAACAAATATAATATTGAAAACCATCGGTTTGTTTGGAATGAGCGCTTTCAATATTGACTTTTTGACCAGATTGGAAATGTGCAGCGATAATAAAATCAGCGAAGAAAGAAAGATAAAATATATTTTATATTTTTCGAAATCTTATGTTAAAAATTAAGAGTGACGATACCGTGCTTCTACGATAGAAAATATCGATTGAATTTCGTTTGATCTAGCATAAGATTTTAAAGGACGATAGCAGAATAATAAGAACGGATCAAGAAGTAGAGTTAATATTCAAGTGAAGTATTTTAAGAATTTAATTAATATATTTTATTACGAACGACAAACAGAGAAAGTTTTACTTTAATAAGATAATTAATTATTTACGAAGGCTTTAATTGTTATCGGGCGAAATATAGCATTACAGTTTAGCTCGCAGATAATGCTGTTATGCCTATTGTTCCGTTATGTGTACTTACTTTGTTCCAACAAATTTTGTATCGTCAGTGTGAAAAACAAGCAATTTATATATTTTTTTACTTATTTACTATAACCGTAAATTACTAAATATATAAATATAAGTCATTCGAAAGACTTTGTATACAATTAACGCGCGGCCGTAAATAAATATTTAACGTAAGCGCGTAAACAGTAATTTTAGTAATTAAATGTTAATTAAAAGTAATTATAAATTTAAATAGAAATGAAAACAACTTTTTACGGGCTTTAAACTTTACATTAAATATTAATTCTGAGCGATTAAAGTTATAATTGAACTTTTTTTTAAAAAAATTGACTTACTTTTCTACCGATTCTTTGTTTTTACATTCCTTTCTTATTAAAGTATTTCCATTTATCTCCGACTGTCCATTTTTTAAGGAAGAAGAAGGGAAAGAGGAGAGAAAAAAGAACTAAAAAAAGTATTTAACGTAAGAGGAGTCACTATCGGACAGCACTGCACCTTCCTCTCCGAACGATCTGGACAACAAATGGTCGTCTACGTTGCCAAAGCGACAGTTCCCATTGCATCCTGGGTAAGGGACTTCCCAAACATCAGTCGAGGGGTGAGCTGTTAACGGGGAAGATGCTCTGTTATATTTAGAAGGGCAGAGAAACTTTCTTTCTTTTGGGCTTCTCGATTTCGTTTGAAAATTAACTGTTTCCGTGCCGATTAAATGTTCACTTTTCCGAAATGTTTCGCACCGTTCTGCTACCAAATTTCATTTTCACCCATTTTATTTTTTCTTTCTTTTAGGTTTTAGTATTGATAATTTTCGTGTCGTCAATACAGCAGACTGCGCGTTTTACAAGAATCTAGAAAGTTTTTGTAACCGAAGTTACTTTTGATTTAAAATATTCGTCTGAAACAATATTAATTTATTATGCGGTAGAGGAAAAAAATTTCTCCGAGTGCTCAAAATGTCGCCAGTGTTCTTCCCAACGAAAGAACGTTGTGTTGTAAAGCAACGACATTGAGCTTCTGCCAAAATGTATTCTCTCTTGATGGGTTCATCTTTTATGTACAATTTATACAAATACATTAAACACGTGTATTCGAAAAATGTTCTTCCTCAAGAGGAAAAAAAGGAAAAAAAATATATATATATATATATATATTACTACTTTAGATTATTAAAGCGATGACGAGCGTTTATGCCTCACGTTTACGTAATTTCGTTTTCCAGATTTGTAACGACGTCACATAGCTGCATCTATCAAAATTGACAATTCTAGATACATTTATATTAAAAAATATATTATGAATTTATCAAATAAGTTTATTGAATATTAAATAATAAAATAGTATATTTAGTATTTTAATTAAAATTTTTTTTATTTAAAATATCACCTATTGCAAAATGTAAGAAGTTGGAAATCAATATACATATATATGTAATTTGTTTTTATATTTGCAATATCGTTGACGCTAGTTTTAAAGTCATGTGCAATCGCCATAAATTATATGAGGAAGGAAAAATGTAAGCAGTCTTTTATAGTGAAAACTTTTAAATAAATGACATTATTTAAAATGTAAAACATTACTGTAAAATACAGATGAATTATTGAAGATCGATTGAAGTAAAAAAAAAAACATAAAAATAAAAAAATACTGTATGTCAACAGCCACGAATATATCATTTGTCTTGTTTTCCTATGTTTTATATAGTAAAACTACAATACTTTGTATTATTACTTTCTAAAAGTTTAACCCAAATTCTTAAAATTTTATCTGAATGCTTTCTGATTGTACTGTTTTTTAATGATAGTGTTTAACGGCAGATATTACCTAAGGCGAAGCTGGAAACCATTTTTTAAATAACGCAGTTTCCGAAAAGTTCTTCCAGTTTAAATACTTGTTATAACCAATAACTAGGATAGCATAGAACACTAAAAATTGTAACCAAATCGACGAAAACATCTTTTTCTTTTCTCGACTCAACCTTCAAAGTAATTTGGAACATATCCAGAACGCTTCTCTGTGTTATCTCAACGACACAGCATCTCTGTTTTGTCCTGTTTTGTACAATACAATCAATGTTGGCATTGTAAATACGTTAGAACAGGGTCAGCAGTGTGGTGTACAAGAAGGGAGTCGCGAATGCTTCAATCCAAGAGCATTCAAATATCTCTGCTAGCATGGCCTCGATTCGGTAGTCATAATTTATCCAATAAATGTCAACCACGAAAGGAGTTCATTAATTTCATAGATAGCCGATCGCGCTAGTCTCTCGAAATCGCATACGCCAGAATCTAAAAGAATCTTGTTATAAAATATTTTACAAAGGGAATAAATAATGTTCAACTAGTTGCATCTTAACTAACAACCCTTACAAAGATAAATAAACTTCAATAGAAAAGCAAATATATGATAACAGTTAGATTTTATATTTTATGATTTAATAAAGTAGCTAATACTTTATAATACTATTTCTTAGAATATTTCTGAAATTTAATTGATAGTTTTATAAAAATGCAGCTAATGAATCAAGCTATTTTCTTTCTTTTTTATTTTTTAATTAAATTCGTTATAAAATTAGAAAATTATAAATGTAAGAAAAATTAATATAGTCGTTTGAAATTTTACATTTAACAAAGAGATTTGTTTAAATACATAACAATAGAAATAAAAAAAATCCCCAGGAAAAAAGAATGCTCAGATGGCCTAAATAACGAGATGAATTTGCTGATTTCTTTCCAATATGGGCTGAATCATCATTCAAGCTCTGTTTTTCCATTTTGTTTCATAATTTATCAATTCTGACATTTTTCTATTCTTCTCTCGGATTATTCACAAACACGGAAATTTGAAAGAAGTCCGAATATTATTTATTTAAATATGGTCAAGAATACAAGGAAACGTTAAATATTCTTTATATGGTTTGATAAGCAGAAATATATAGAATTCATGATATGAATTCTATATATTTTATGATTTTATGTTATTACATAAACATTATGCGAAGGAAGCATTGAAGCATATTTCAAGTTCCTGAAAAAATAAATAAAATGTAAGACATTTTTATGTCGAATTTAATCATTTTAAAAATGAAAATTATTAAATTCAACACGTTAATATGATATAAAATATGAGAATTAATTATAAATATTATTTTCTCGTGTGTGAATGGAAATAAATAGAAGGAATTTTGAAAAATTCACTTTTCTCGTACTGCATACAACAATAAATAGCCCTATATTCATTAAAGAATTATGAAATATAACTGATATATAAATCTAAAGCATGACTTGCACGTTTCCCTTTTACTGTACAGACGTCAATCGTCGCCAATTTTACTATGAAATTTTGTATTCCCAAAAGTGTAAAAGTGTCTTAATATATCATCCATTGATCGCAGAAATAACTATATTATATCAAATTGCGTGCATATTTTCTAGTTTTCATTTCATACCGAACAAAATTAGAATTATATCACGCCACTTACGAATATAGATTAAACATGAATCAAATAAAATATTTTAATTAAATTTTGAATAAAAGAAAATTATCAACACAACTTGGCCAACATTTACGATTAATAAAAGTGCCAAGAAAATATGGTAAAGAAAAATATATATATTTTTTTCCTTCTGCTTCAATCTATTCAAAATCGAAATCTTTTGAGAAAACGAATACTTTTTTATTTAGTAACAAAGAAAAGAGAGTTTTTCTTTAACTAGAATATCTTCAACAGAAAACTTAAAAGCCCAATGGATCCTTACAATAACCAAACATTTACCAAGATAAAAGTATGATCAGTTTTAAAGCTATTATTTTCATAACTAAAGTTGAAATATATTTAGATAATAACTAATTTATTTTATAATTTTCCAAACTTCAAATAATAATAATAATAATATTGGTTTTTTTTATTCGAAAGAAAAACCATTAGTGTTGATTTTGGAACGATTCAAGATAATTTTCTTAGAATTACGCTATTCAAAAAGCATAGTTGTTTAACAGACAATTATTAAATAATTATTAAGAACGTCATCATTTTTGATGAAACTTGCTAAAATTTGATGATGAAACTTGCTAAAATTTTCCCCCGATTATTTGGAAAATTTTATATTAATAAACATTAAAAATAAGAAAGAAAGAAATTGGTTTAACAGCATTTTTAATTATAAATAAACTAGAAAGTTATCCAGTCAAAAGTGTGTGCAAATCTTCCGTGATATCCACCAGATATTCTGTAAAATATCTTAGCGCTGGGTTAACTGTTGACAGAAATAATAAACAGAATTGCGTGAAAATGATTGCCGAAACTCGTAGTACCCCTGAATAAATGGCATTCCTGTTAGACAGAAGTGCAATAAGGAAAGGAGTACTTGTTTCCGCCTCTTTTTTTTTATTCTTTCTTTACACAAGGAATTTTAATGAAAGAGGATCGTTTTATTACAGGAATTAACAGAAAGTAGAATAATTACTTTCCATTTAATTATTTACTGTTAAAAAAAACTGATCCATGAATGTGATTAAAATTTAAATTTTTAACTTGAATATTTAAAAAATCAAAAGGCTTCTATATAAACAAAAACTTATGATTAAGTTAATTTGCATTAATCATGAATAAATACAAGGGATTATATTTAAACAAGAGAAAATTGGTTGACCATATTTTATGCTAATAATATTTGTTAAATAAAATCACTTCTATAATGAGTATTATATTATTCGATTTAAGAAAGTTAATTGATCCTTTAAATTACATCTGAATTTTAATGGATGTACTTCAATAATACATAAAAGAAAGTAGTTTTATTTAATGTCTGGCACCAAATTGACGAGACTTTCTAGCTGATGAAATTGCTGGAAAAATATTAAAAAAATGAAATAAAATTTCTTTTCTATTTACAAAATATTCACGTTTTGTCGAAATTACTTAATTTTTACGAATATTTAAATTTTATTAATACGAATAATCATTTTCAATTGATGAGCAAAATAGTATACGTGGAAAATTATCGATAATATTTATTCAATTAAATACGAATATTTTCAACGTAGGAGATTATTATAATAGCTCATAAAACACGGAACAAGTTCTATGTGAAATTAAGAACATCGGAAATTTTATGATGACAAGAGATCAAAATAATGAAGTAGCAAAATTTCTACGCTTATTTGATAGATAAGAATATGTAGGTTCATCTCTGATTCATAATACAAGCGAAATTTCTAAATAAAATATCAGATTAATAATTCATTTATAATAAATTATTTACTTATGATACACATTTATGAATATTTTATTAAGATAACATTTAGCATTTCGTTTTAAGAGAAAACTTAATATATTATTTGAAGGATTTATATGTGTGTGTGGTGTCCGTGTGTGTGTGTGTACAGTATATATATTGAAATAAAAATTAAACTTTACTGAGAAAATCTGCTTTAAAATTGAGATAGTTAAAAGTAATACGAGTTAAATTTTAAATATTGAATTTACACATTTAAATTCATTAGTTAAGTAATTATAGAAAAGACAGCTGGAGAGTTGAATGTCTGTTATCTTTTAATTCATTCGCTTAGCAAAATATTGTTACAATTATAAAGGTTTTATTATTTAATTTGTGATATTACAATCTAATTTATGCTATTACTTTTTATAAATTCGTGTATATTGGATATTTCACATATTATATATTTTTAACCGAAATTTTAATATCAAACAAAAATATTTTGATAATTTTTTTTTATTTATGCAAAATAGTCATTTGATATTAATTAATTAAAATTTATTCTAATTTATTAATATTTTAAGCTTTTAAAAAAAGATTTTAACTCTTAAAATGATATTAAAATCAAAGAAAGATTATAATTAAAATTACTAATTTAATAATGTATAGGTTTATAGACAAAATAATCAGCTCTGGAGACAATTTTGATAGGTAATATGTTGTTTTTTTCTTGTAGATCTTGAATGAGAAAGACATTCAGCTTAATAAAATAATCTTTTGTATTCCAATATGTCAATTCCAGTTGCGTTTAGACGACGAACTCATGAAATATATGCATTTTGTATAAGCTATGTATTGGCTTTATTTACACGATTGATATCTGTGCCATTTATCGCTCTTCTTTTCTTTTACAGCTCGACATACAAATAAAGTTTCGATTTCTCAAAATAGTCATTGTTAAATATTGAATGAAGATTTTCAATAATTTAGCAGTTAGAATGTATTTATAAGATATAATGCCATTTTTTTTCCAAAGGTAAAATATCTATCGATAATTATCTTTATTGTTGTAGACTAATAGTAAATTAGGCAGAACAATTTTACAATCGATTTTATCGGGAAAGATTAATAGAAATCGTCATTATCGATATCTCTCTCAATTATTTTAACACAGTAATGTAATATTATTAGAAAGATAAACTGATCGATAATAATAAATCATATTAATATAAATTTTTGAGAATGGAAGCAATCATACCTTTCTTTTTTTTTTACATTATAAAATGCAGAATATTATTGGCATTCTTCCAAAAATATTTCTCATAACCGAAGAGAATTTTCATAAGAAGCACAAAATTAATAAATATCAATCTAAATAAGGAGTTGGCAAAGCCACGGTCCGCGGTCGTTTTCAAAATATATATAAAATAAACAGAATAATTTAAATTTATATTTCGTTGTTCTTATTAACATACACACGCATTATATAATAAATAATTATAACAATTCGCGACAATTTCTTCATAACATATCATTTTAATAATCCTATAAATTGTGGAAAGTTAAAATACAAAATTGGCCCGCATGAGCATTTTACATATTTTATTTTGCTCGATATTTAAAAAGATTGCATCGCACTTGATATAAATGAACATTTTAATTCGATTAAATATCTAAAAGTCGGATATATTTTGGCTAGATTTAATATAGTCGAGCCAAAATAATAAAACGAAGCAATTTGGCTATAAAAATCCAGGCATAATAAGTTAATGTCGATCATTTAATGTGAACGAAAAAATACGAGTTTAATAAGATCTATTGTATTTTAAATTTGTTTTTCTTTCTCAATCAAACTAATAAAATATATTTATGAAATTGTAACATTTTCGCCATTAGAAAAAAAGTATATATATAAAGTGCAAGCGACCAACATATGGCGATCTGACAAAATGTCTTTCTGTCTAATAAAGTCAATTTATTTTCCACAGAAAATTTCCAACATATTTTTCAAACTTGCAAGCGTTGGACGTTTATCACAACGTAATTGAATTTTCACAAACATTTTAATTAATTACAGATCACATATTACAGTTCGGATTATCTGTACTAATTAGAATTAAATTTAAAATTATATTTATTTTTTAATCGAAAAGATTCGGTTTTAATTTTTTAAAAAAAAGTCCAACCGACGCGATGGAAATTTTTTTAAAAAAATGTTAATTTAATATAAAAGTATAAAGCGATAAATTTATATTTAAAAAAAGAAACGAAATTTTTTTTTGCTAGGAGCTAAATCACATTTATCATCATTATATGAATGAGAAATGTTAAATATGTTGTACTAATGCCAATTAATTGTCCGACGCTCCACAAAAAAATTGGGTAACTCATAAATAGGGTTCATAATATTGCTCAGGATCGGGATAACGAATCCTATTTTTGAATAGGATTGGATTGATGGAATAAGGCAACGCAACACACGGGCGATCTGCCAAGTGGGGAGTGCCACCCGAGAGGACTTTTATGGAAAACTGGCCCCTATTTAGGTGAATAAAATCTGGAAAACTTCACTTGGCCAGCCTATTGGGCAGGCATAAAACCGCCATCAACTATCAGGTCTATTCTTGAATAACATCGACTTACAATAATAGCAAAATATTTTAGGGACCAACGATTAAAAAATTGAATAGTAATAATCTGTAAAGCTTCCTTATTGATGTACTTTTACCTTTTTATTTTTATTTTTTTTTTATAAATTAAAATTATTCCCTGGTTAATAATTTATCAAATAATTTCACTTCGGAATTATTTTAAAAATTATTTAATTTACATGATTATTTTTAAAAATAGGTTTAAGGCATTATTCGTAGAATAATCGCTTAAAACAATTAGGAGATATTGTGTTATCGGATTTATTTTATAGAAAAATCAAACCTTATTTAAGTGTTTCAGAGATCTACTTGTGATGACAGTCTCAAACCACTTCTGAATAATCATTTCGAAAGCAAGTGCACACTAGTTATAGCAGTTGAAGATGTGGCATATCTCTGAGTTTAATTTCATATAGCCTAAGACCATACCATAAAGTTTAATAAAGTTTTTCCCGTTATTTTTATGGCCATTAATTTTATATAAAATAAAACCATCAATTCTGTTAAAGTACATACAAAGCTGATATTGCAATATTCTCGAATTGTTCTGAATAGCATATTTTATAGTATTTTAATTAATTGCCTTTTCAATATTTCTACGAGTCATGTTTCCATTATTCGTCAATCAAGTGTATTACGAATTATATCTTAATAGATATAACTCACAACAAATTTAATAGGTGCATTACATATACATGTATATTTACATAATTCTGCACTTTTCTCTATATATTTACATAATCATTAATAATTATGTATATAATTCTCATATTGTAATCAATTAAAAATATATTTAAAAATTATCTAACTTTGCTGCAATTTTTGCTTATTTGAATATAAAATTAGCAAAATTCTCTTATATTTATGCATTTATGGCATTTGAATAATACTACCAATGAATTATTTAAGCAAAAATCAAAACAAAAGCTAGCTATAAAATGTATATGAACGCGCATAAACGGAAAATTTTATTTTACTTAACTGTATGAACTAAATATTCCTTAATTTGAATTATCGCCTCGACTTGCATAACATTTGACATTTAAATACAGCATGTGACCTTCTGAGAGTGTGCAAGTCCGGCGATTTTATTTTCTAACACCTATGGGCTTATTAAATTAAAACTAAAACGTTTCTCCTATAAAATGTAGTTAAAAAAATCAGTATTGTTTGCGTTACGTGACCTACTTAAAGAGAAGAAGGGGAAAAAAAAGGCACTGAGAGAGAGAAAGAGATCAGCCACTACTTGCTCATATTCCTAATAGAAAGAAGAGACGAAGGAAAAAAAAAGAAAAAATGGTGGCATTAGTCCAATTTAACTCGTGCTTGTGTAAATAAAAGTAATTTTCTAAATTGCGAATAATTTTCTATTAAGTATCAAGTAAGATAATACTCTTAAAGTCATTCGCGTAAGTTTATTCTCTTCAGATAAGTGTTGCATAAATATTATAAATTTATTTTTAATTATGTATGTACCTATACACGAGTCCAATATATATCAATACCAACTTTTATGTAATAATCGTACATCTACACGAATTGATCTGTTAAAAAAATAAATAAATAATAATTTAGAAAATCAGTCTGCATTTCTATGAATGGAATTGCAATCGGAAAAATTGATAAGATTATAAATTAGAGATAAAGCGATTAAATTAGATCAATTATTTGTCATTAAGTATATGAGTAAAAGGGAAATATAATTCGTATCACAAAACATGATTAAAATACCAAAGGTTTCGAAATGGCAATACTCCAACTATTTTTTTGTTTTTTTTTTGTAATTATATTAAAATGTCACAGACGTATAAAAACGTTTGAAAGTTTATCGCACTATTAAAAAAACTGCTTTGTTATAGTTAATTATTTATTTTTTAATATAGTTATCTTTATACATCTCATAGTCCGTTCTCAAACAGAGCAGTTATTGTGTAGAAGTACAGTACATGAAATTATATAGTTAGGATTATGATAGAAAAACTGACTAATTCGAACAACTACCACTAGAGGCAACACCGAGTTATGCCACTAGTTATAAATTAAAACGTGACGAAGACAAACTCAAACGTCAGCACGTTCACTGGAAACGCGTACGAATAATAACTTCAGAATGATCTCTCCGATTAAGGCACATTTGTATGGGCTATTTTATATTGTCCCTTCTGAGGTCCATCAATCTGCGATCTTGTTGATAAAACCATCGGACGCATGCGTTCTAGGTATTTACTATTTACAGATTCCAAGTCGATGTGCGAAATCGCAGACTTGGCATCGACTCACGCGCTTCAAGGCTAAGCAGAGTTCTTTTCCTCATACCTTTCTCCGTCATACGTCTGTAAAAAATGATAGAACAGTAAAAAAATCATACAATATATATATATAAGAAGCAGAGATAAATTTCGAGATATTAACAAAAAGTAGATGATAAATACAATCGATAAGCGTAGATACAATAGATGACGTAAACGTTTACTTACTTTATAAGTAGGATTATCGTAAGCTGATTCGGAAGAATTTCTAGTAATCGGGGCTTTTGCAGTCGACTGTTTTTTTAGTAATATAATTAACAATACGACGAATCCTAATCCCGCTACTGCTGCAACAATGGCTACTACAATCAGTGCAATGTAATACGCTTTATTTTCGTCTTCACTCATGCTACTGTGAAGAGCTTCGGCATTCTTTTCTGAAAAAAGAAACAATGAATAGGAATAGGTCTACCGATCGATATTTTAATTGGGACAATCGATGGAATTTTAATTATACCTTCGTGTTTTGATAACTCTTGCTTTGCACGTGATTCTGGAGGGGCAGGCTTAGTCATAAAATCAATAATATTAGATGATAGTGATTTGCCGTTAGTTAAATAAATATCCATCCAAGCTTTATACCTGAATTGAAAAATATTTTATTCTTTTTTTGAGTTACGTATTACTCGTATTTAAATAAAATATCTACAATTTTCTTTTCTAGTGTATTAATAATTATAAGAAAATTACCTTCTTCCTGATTTGAGACCTTCTAGTTTAACTTTTTGAGTTTTTGGTACGTTGAATATGTTTTGGTGTTCTTCTTCATTATCTGACTTATAACTTATCCTAATCACGTGAACATATTTGGTGATTGGTTCAGGAACGCCAGATAATGTCACCTCTAATGAATTAGGACCTACTTTATCCTGCCTTAAGAGAACTTGAAAGTCGTAATTATCTGAAAACATCAACCGAATATCAAATTTACATTTATCAGTTGTATGTAAGTTTACAAGGTTGAAACATTAAAATCACCTTTAGGTTCTTCTGGCATTCGCATTTCCACAGCCGAACTTGACACTAAGTGAGTTGGTAATCCTTCATGAGTAATAAAAACTAGATCTACCATATAAGATGCACTTGGCTCCAAATCCCTTAAGACATAGGATGTAACATCGCGGTGTATCATTGGAGTTACTTTCCATTGATCATCGTTATTTCCTTTTTCCTTATATTTGATTCGATAGCCATCGACAAATCTTTTCTCTTGAGGCTCGAACGGTCTCCAAGACACTTTGGCTGTCTTGGGATCTAGCATTTGAATAGATATCATTGCATCTAACATTATCATAGGTGGTAAAGTGGTAGTGGTAGTGGTAGTAGTTGTCGTAGTAGTAGTTGGAGATGAAGTTGTTGTAGCTTCTGTTGTACTTGTAGTACTCATAGTAGTTGTGGTAGTACTAGTTGTAGTAGATGAAGTTGTTGTTGCTGTTGTTGTTGCTGTTGTTGGTATGGTAGAAGGTGTAGTAGTCATAACAGTGGTAGTAGCAACTGAAAAAATATATAATACAGTTAATTCTAAAAATAAATTGAAATTACACCTAAATCTAATTATTAAAAAAAACCTAAATATAAATCAAAAACGTGAATTTTTTCTAAATTTTTAATTTAAATTTGTTTNATAAATTCAGTATCTATTATTACAAAAAATTAAACTTATGTAAGCAATATATTATGCTGATAAGTGCATTTTTATGTTAACACATTTTTGTGTTATTTAAAGAATTAAAGTAAAGAAATTGTGTAAGATGCCATTTACAAATTGTAACTATGAACTTTGATAAAATTATTACTTTGTTATTTTTCCAGTATATACTCTACATGGATTTCCACACTTTGCTGAAAATGTAGAAATCCATCTGTTCTTGTAAAGAAAGTAATAATAGTAATAATAATAATAACTTTCGAAAATGTTTAGATTATACACTAAAATCTCCGATTCAAGGCCAGGATTCCATAGTTTGTCGTTCACGATATCATAAAAGAAAACAATTTTAGTATTTATCAATTTCAAACACACTACAATTTGTATCCTGTTAGACAAACGAGTCGGAAACCAAAGGGTGAGGAAGCAGATAAAAAAATATCTGTATTCGTTTAAATTCAATATATATAAGTATTACCTTTAATTTATTTTTAATTTCGTATTAACGCTTCTGTTCTAATAATTGTTATTCTTTAAGGAAAAAAAAAAAAATATGAAAACAATTCTTGTCCTCGCTCTTTTGGTGTTTTCGACTATTGCCGTCGAAGTAATTTATTTTTGATCTAAATTCTCCATTTTTAATTCTTCTATTTCCCGAGTTTGATTTGAAATTTCAGCTTCGACTTTTAACTGATAATTCTGAAATTTATTTTTAATTTCGTATGCAGCTTATATTAAATTTAATATCTCTTCGATAAAGATAAGCGTATATTAAACATTTTCAAAAATAGACCTAAGCAATGAAATTAGTAAACGTAAGCCATTCTGAGTTTAAATAATCTCATTGGGAATTTCGTATTCCTTTATTAATTTGCGAAATCCATTAATTAAAATCCTCAGTTGAAATTCTATACACAAGATGTGAATATTTTATCATTGGCTGACTATTTCTAATTAATAAATTATTATTGTATTACATAGAAACAGTATTTGCAGTAGATATCAATTTCTTAGACAAAATAATGTAAACTTTTGTAAAACGTAATTCAAGAAAACTATTTTAACTTTTTAAACTCGATTTAGTAATTTATACAATAATTTTTTTTGAATATTTTAATAACTGTTTTCGTATCTACTCACTTTATTTTTAACGATATTTAAATACTCAAATAGCTAAAATATTAATTTAGCATTTAAAAATTTAAATGCTTCTAAAGAAGATCTTAAGAATCGTTGATGTATTTAAATGTAAAGAGTTGTAAAAAAAAAATAAATATTTAAGCAAAAAGAAAATAGTAAAAATGTAAATTACTCATTTGCATTTTTTGTAAAGAATATAAACTCACGTACTTGGAGGCATTCTTAATTTATAAGTATCGCTCTCCAGTCCTCCTTGGAGTGCAGAGATCACGATTCGCACCTGGAAGAAATATAAAGTATCCGGTCTAAGACCGGACATGTGATATTCGATATTAGGAGTATCAAACAGACGTTTAGGTCTGGCGAATTTCTGAACATGCCAGGCACTGCGTGGTATATTTCGATCGGAAGTAAAATGCAATTCTGCATGTCCCACCAAGCCTACTAATAAAGAAGGTAAAGTAAATCGAACTCGAATACTGGTTGAGTTGAGAGCGACGATGCTGACATTTTGCAGTTCTTTAGCTGAAAGAGCAAATTTAATTAATTATAAATAAATGTGTAAATTGCGTTAAGAAATTCCGCGACATTTTAAATTAATTTTAGCAATATTTAGTACAGTTTTAGATAAAGTTTAGAAAATTGATTTTAGTTCATTTTAATTGTGAATCTTTTATTCGATTAAGAAAATGGCGCCGGGAGAAGATCTATTCGTTCGAATGATTGTCCTCCGTTAATTACCTGAAGCAGCGTTGTTGCAGACCACGTAAGGACACATGACGGGATCCTCCGGTCGTACCAGAACTGGTCTTTGGCATTGTGGAGTTGGAATCTGATAATGATCGGGGATGGACGGACAACCTCCCGTACATACTACTTCTGCTTGCCCATCGGATATCTTGCAGGTGCATCTTCTTCTCAAACCTCCTTTTCTTACATCCCATTGTTCGTCGGGCTGATAACTTCTACCGTGATAGATGCAGTGATGTGCTGTTGGTTCAAGAGATGGTTTGTTTACCCAAACTTTTTAACACATAATTAATTTCTCTATCTCACGAATTTAACAGGCGCCATCTATAGTTGATATCGAGAACTGTTTTCGTGCTTTTAGTATTTTCTTTTTATTTAGGAATTAAAAAACTAATTAAATATGTATTTAATTGTTAACGACATTTCATGCTGTCTTCGCTAGATTGCTTCGTTTACGCGTTAAATAAGTGAGTATTATTTAAAATTAATTTAAGAAGTTTTATTAATTATATATCTACTTATTTTTGTTTAGTTTTGTGTTATTAAAAAACTATTGTCTTTAATTGAAGACAATATCAATAAAACCATTAATAACATAGGCTACATAGAAGACTAATAGGGAAGAGATCAGCAATACTCACTTTTTCTTTCCTGATCGCGACACATCCAATGTAAACAACAATCGTCTCCTGGCAAACGGCCTTGAAAGGCAAGACTAGGTGGACAGGGAAGATTTGGAGGAGGAAGCTGACTTAGATGTGGGCATCGATTTTCGCAAGTAACATTACCGTGGACGCAAACACAATGCGTTCCACAATCCAAAAACTGATTGGGTATAGGTTGGAAATTCGAGAAACGAATTCCATTCATTAAACACGATCCATCTAGAATTATAAGTGGAAATTTGTTATTTATTACGTTTAAAATACAACAGAAAACATCGTGCGTAATATTTAATTAATTTTCTGATATCTCGAACTTGTAATTTTTTTTAAAAAACAGAAACGTATCTCCACCTTTACCGTTTTTACATCTCGGTCTCGGACAACATTGAGGTGGTGTCGGAACGAATGATGGATCTGCATCCCACTCTAAACATTCACTGACGTGAGGAGAAAAGTGCTGTGGGCATTCAATCACAGCGCAAGTGACTTGAAGGTCTCTTCCGCAATGACAAACGGCGCGACAATCATCGTAAAATTCTTCATCCAGTTGATATTGTCGGCCTTTGTATTGACACATAGGAACTGGAACATTCAGAGCTGGAAAATTGAATATAGAATTATTTATTAAACTCGTTCATAAATGTAATTATACACATATTGAAGTAAGATAATTAATTAATAGAAACGGAATTTTACATCAATATCATTAAAGAAGACGAAAAACTGCACTTACGACTAACTGCGTTATTACAAACGATATATGGACAAATACAAGGATCTTCGGGAGTCACTAAAAACGGTTGAGGACATTCTGGACTAGGATATTGTGCACTGACAGGAATTGGAGCGCATCCTCCGCTGCATTCTATGTGAGTTGTACCGTTTGGTAGGAGAAGACAACTACATAATTTCCTGGTGCATCCTTCTTCCCATTTTTCTCCTACTTGATACGAACGATCGCCTTCAACCACACAAACCGAGCTTTCACCCTCTAATAAAAACAAATTAATAAAATGTCATCAATTATTTATCGGAATTAAATTAAATTATCTTGTTAATTATAGTTCATTACAGTTAATTAATATCTTATTATGTGCTTAATTAAAATGAAATTGATAATAATATACAGTACATCTAAATTATATTGTAATTCATAAAAATATTATTTATAGTTTCAAAAATAAGTGCAAAAATTTACAGTTTTCTTTGTGATTTACAGTAATAAAGAATTAAAAATCTTGTAAACAGAAATTTGATTTTGAAGTTTTTAATTTTCATTTTTTTTACTTTATATTAATTAATACAATGCTTTTAAGTTTTTTTTAAAAAAAAATTCGAATATAAAATGCTAACTTCTTAATTAGATTTAAATAAATTCAATTATTCACAAAAATTAAAATGTACTCCGTAATCAGAAAGAATTGCTTTAGAAGAAATTATTTCAGAGTTTTTCTTAAATTAACTTCAATCTTTCCGACTATGTAAATTATTTTATAAAATACATTGAAAAACGAATATGTGTATTTTTTCAAATTATGTTTAAAATTTCTTATAAAAGAGAATTGTTTAAAGGAAATTTGATCTGTTACATTTCAAATAAAGTACATAAAAAAAACAGGAGTCGAAATTCGAAAACAATTCTTCTCTCTGGATCAATAATAAAAAGAATTCTATATAAATCTTATAGCATATTTCCCCCATAAGAAATCAGAAACATTTCCAGATTATAAAACCCATTTTTGATCGAATCCGAATTTCAATAGTTTAAAAATTGGCACGAGGTAAGTGAAATGGAGTAAGCTACCTGCAGACAAAATCAGAATAAGAGAACCTTTTCTTTAAATTCTAATGATTGAAAAGTTATAAATCAACAAAATTCAGGAAATAATTTGAAGGAAAAGGAATTTATACAACACTCACGAATTGATGGAATTCTAAGTCACGATTAAAGAAGAGAAAAAAAACCCAAAAAACACGTATTCGTATCACTTTTATGAACCGTTATTTTCAAAATTTAAATGAACTAATTATAATTTTAAAAATAAAGAATAAATTTAAAGTTATGTGCCTTAATTTAAAATATAAACTCAACTATTCAGCTCATAATTAATGTTTTAAATAATTTTATTCGAACAAATAAGATTTTGATTAAAATATCAATCAAAATTGTGACGTTTACACGTGAATTATCTCAACTATTGATCTACTGTATTAATACCGAAATTAATTAATTTATTAATAATATTAGTCCTTTGAATTGTAATATTAACTTATGATCAAACGGGTTAAATGTTAACGTATAAGTTAATTAAATTGGAATAATTTAATTATTAATTTGAGATGATATTAAATTAGCTATTTTTAATATGAAAATATGAAGTTTGAATGTTTCTATAAAGTATTAATTAAGATACATTGTGTAAGAGTAAGTTTTATGTGTGATATTTCTGTAAAAAAGGTGGATAATTGTTGACAGAAGTGATATTTTTATTGTGACATACCGTGGATCGTTTGATTTGTTTTTTCTTCACAAAACGGAATGGTACAACAAGAGTCATCAGGAGCGGGACCCCATCGACAGTTTTCAAATCCCACAGGATCTATGTACACTTCGCACCTTTCACGACATTGGATCTGTCCATTCTCGTGGCAAATGCATTTATATTCGCAACCATCAAAGAAGACTTCTCCACTTTCGTAAGTTTTATTATGATGAAAACAGCCTTTGAAAGTCGTTTTGACAGCTAAAAGAAACATAAACCAAAATTAGTGGCGTCATCTGTTGATATTAAGGATAACTAATCACAAACATCGTTTTTATAACGTCATTGGGGAAAATTTAGTGATGCAGAACCGTTTCAGGAAGTGTTTGCTTCTTTACCTCAGTCATTTTTCTATATATATAACTGCTATTTTTATTAAGCAGGTTATTTTTTTTTAACAATAATAATTTTAAAACAAGAAAAATAATATTAATGGTTCATTAATGTTTATTTTTTTGTTTGATTTATTATAGTAAGTAATTAAATAACAATTACTAGATTCGTATTATAATACTGTAATCTAAAACTAAAAGTTGATAGACAGAAATAAAATTAATTAAAACTTACCGGAAACAAATGTTTTTACGCTAACTACATTGCTAAATGCGTCCTTTTCACTTCCTACATCTTTCATTTTGAAATAGTATTCAGTATCAGGTTTCAATCCATGAACAGATATTTCATATACTCCATCTTGCACTTGTTTTGTTTGGTTTTTTGACAGCTTGATTTTTGTCCACCACGTAACACCGTCCTCACTTCCATTTGAAGTTGGAGCATACCATATTTGAAACAAATGGTTTGTGTCGTTGAGAGAAGAAATTCTCAACATAACAGAAGTAGCGTTTAGTGCTTGTATATCGTTTATTCTAATTTTTAAATCTGAGTAATATAAAATAACACAACATATTTTTATTTGTATTAATAAATCTATATCTGAGTAAGTAGACCTACTTACCATTTACGGTAGATACTGTATCGGTATCTCCAGGTGGATCGCACATGACGATCTTGCAACAGTTATCATTAGGGTCCACCACTTGTCGGCATTTGTCACCGATTGTATTGATTAAAGGACAACGTGGCACGCAAGACATATGACCATTTCCATCACAAAGACATTTAGCTTCGCATCCATCAAAAAACTCTTGACCCAACTCATAAATCTTTCCTCTAAAGTCACATCCCTTAACTCTAGTAGGACCCTCTGAAATGAAAATGATTAAAATTAGGAAATCGCAAGACTTTTTGTCGTATCGCGATAGAATTGAAGCGGAGCTAGAAAGAAGCTATCCTTGTACTGTACCTGTTAGGCACAGAAGAGGCGATTCTTGTACAGTACCTGACAGACGAGGACAGGTAAACTTTGCACTTGCCGCCACAAAAGAGGCTATCCTCGTACCTGCAGGCCACGAGAGACACGATCCTTACACTGGCCAGGTACGGTGAGACGATCCAAGAACAAAGTTCTTGAACAGAGTTCTTGTGTTTTGTTCGTTTTTCGTGCCTATTTTCCGTTAGGCGCACGTAATACTGTTTTTATTTTTGACCCCTAGGCCTAAATTCCGTTAAGTGCGCTCGTTGCATCAGAGAGCGTGGACATTGTCACTTTAATACCTTTATATATCGAAAACGAATTCATGGACGCCTATTTCTACTTTCCCGGCTCTATTAACAGAGCCGGGAACAGAGGGATCGGTCAAAAAATGACCCCCAAGATGTTTACATTTTTGGACTTAAAAAACCTTGAAAGGTCGAGAAATGCAAAAACATTCAGTTTTTTCTCTATGTATGGATGTTAATGTGTGTTTGTGTGTGGCACGACTTCGTTTACCCTCTTTAAAGCTTAATAACGCCTGTGCTTTCGAAAATTTCTGAAATTTTGCATGGAAGTTTGTATATTAGAAAGTTCATGCCATTAAATTTTGATGGTTTAAGGTCGACGGGGTGAGGAGATAAAGGGTAGTCGTGTGTCATATCTCGAGTAGGGTCGGACTTAATGACAACTTTTTATAAAACCCATCCCTACCCTCAAAATTAAGCTTTTTGCCATTTTATATAATTAAAAGTATAAACAGTTTTTTTAAATGAAATATCGTAACAGATAGCGAAACCAGAATTTTAAATGTTGCCGGGAAAGTTAAGCGATTTGTTGCTGGATTTTTTACGTTTAAATGGACCCACATTACCTTTCTGGATTCCTCGTCTCAATTAATGGAAAATGGCAAAGTTTTAACAAAATCTACCAAACAGACTTTGAGAACAAACACAATTTTGTAAGCCTCGTAGAAAAAGCTTAGCTAATGCTCCGCTTCAATAAATAAATGCATATACGTTAATGACTAATTAGGTTCAAAATATTTTAATAATATGATAAATAATATATCACATTTACCTTTATGCATCATTTTAGTTGAATTATGTGTATTATCGTTTATTGTCATTTCAGTTGTTGGCGAATCTGTTCCTATTGTGTTTATAAGTCCACGATGTCCTTTTACGGGTTGATCAGCCAACATTGGATAATCTGTTGTGGATTCTATCAACTGTGTCGTGGTTTGTTGTATTGAAATTGGAATATTTTCCGTGGAAGATGGATTCGTGACAGGCTGATCCATACTTTTATGATCGGTTGCATTTACTGCCATTAAATTGCTGTCTGTCTGAGTTATTAAAGGATGCTCGGTCATTTCTTCTGTAGTCATAGAATTTTCCGTTATCTTCTCAGTCATTGAATGATACTCAGTCATTTTAAACATACTTTCTTCTGTCGTATTTATCATATCTGAATATTCTGTCTTTGTGAATTCAGTCATCTCATGCATTACGGGATAAGTGGTCGTTTCATACATCATTTCCGTGTGATTTGATACTTTATTTATCTTCATAAGCGAGTCGTTCGAGTTGTTGCTCATCATTAAATTGTCTGTAGAATTTTCCATCATTTCATTTCTTTCGGTTGTTGGCTGTTCCGTAGTTTTAACATCCATACTAATAAGATCAACTTTTTTTTCTGTCGTTGTGGAATAGTCAACTGTCACAAAATTTTCTGTAACTTTATCCGTCATAGGATGATCCGTAATATGTTCGTTGGCTGTCGTCGTGGAGTCTGAAGTCATAACAAAATCTGTCACCACAGACTGTTCCATTTCGGGCAACTTTCGACCTTCTACTTTTCCATCGCTCATATTGCAAACTTGAGATTGGCATTTAATTTTAAGATCGTCGTCACATCGGCACTTCTTATCGCATCCATCTTCAAATTCTTCTCCGAGACGATAGGTAACGTTCTTATAAATGCATGTATACGATTCGGTAGCTGTTAAGTGCAAAAATAAAATTAATTTAATGTGGCTATTATAAATAAAATAATAATTTAACTGTAAAGAATCAAACTTTAGAGAATGAATTTTTAACGTTTTAGTTACCTTCTACACATCCAATGTGTAAGTCGTTTGGATTTCCACTAAATCCGGATTCACATTCACATCTTGCAAGTTGTGGATCGGGTATACAGAAAGCATTTGGTCCACAAACAGTATTGCCACAAACATCTAAAACAGATTACCACAGGTTTATTATATTTTAATATTAAATTAAAATAAATCGTTATCTTAAATTTCATTTTAATTAACTGGATCGATCCATCAATTAACAAAAATATTCTAGTGTAATTATATAAATTTGTTTAATTTATTTCAAATATTTAAGCATACATGTACTATACGTTCAGTTTATTTAATTATAATATAATATTAATTAAAATTTTTAAATTTTTATTTGTAAAATGAAAAGAGAATTTATTTAAAAAAAACAGATTCAATCTTTCTTATGATCCAGGGCCGGCCATCGGGGGGGTGCGGCGGATGCTGTGCACCGGGGCCCCGCGATTGAGGGGGCCCTAACATTGTCAAGAATGCACAAGAAAACTCGACAATATTCCTATCGTTGTCAGTATGACGAAAAGTACATTTTATCGTAAACATTATTATTGTAATCTCTGAATTTCGACAATCTTCAAACTAATTCTCGGTGATGCGAATGTTTAGTTTTTGTTATTTGATTCGGGAAACTCCCGAG